CTTTCAAAATGAACTATGCATAACCTATATCTCCTGTGATGAAATGGCTTTGGCAATAATCTTAATAACCAGCCGCTTCATTGAATTTGTATGCTTTCTTACTTTCTGTTTTATCTGATGAGGGTTTTCTAACTGTGTGATTCAAAAATTAAGGAAATTATATTCACGAAACAAGTCTTATTTAATGATTCACTGTTTAAAATTTTTTTATCGATAAATGTCAGACTGTTTGGTCCATCTAAGTTATAACTTAAGTCATATATTATGAGTATATGTCAGTTTCTCTGGTTTGGAAGAGCGTCGTCAAATTTCTATACTTTATCCGCCAACCACCAACACTTCAGTCAGTCTTCATCTTAACTAGTTTTAATTGAAATGAGGAAAACTGATTGATTACCTGATGATATGAACTGCTTGCAGTTGTATGTATTTTATCCTTACAATAACGACAAAAATATTCATTACCATAAATAAAAGTAGCTATTTACTGGTTGGATAGTGAAGACAAGTTAGAGAGCGACTGTCAGTCCTCATTTGCAATTTCAGTAAATTTGAGATTTACCGTAGTCTGTATTTTGTATTAACAACAAATAACTGGCTTGCTTGCAACTTGACCTATCTCACTTGCCTACAATTTCCAATTGAACATCATGAAATCAATCTCACAACTATCCACTGGTGGGCACATTATTATTTATTGAAGCTGTTACAAATTATGGTTCTCTGACCACATTTTTTGAAAACATTCCGGCCGAAATGTATTCATGTTAAAAGAGCGTCAAGTATTTGAGTGCGAACTGCAAAAAGGATCTTTTTAATTATTTGACTGAAAATACACAAACTTTATCTTTTATCTCACACTTCATAAATTCTAAAGAACATATAATGTTAGGCCTATACTTCATTAAAAACACTTATCTAAGATTACCAGACCGTAGAAAAACGTTAATAAGCGTTATGGAAAAAAGTATAAAGGTGTCAGTTGATTCTATATCAAATTAATATTGTTTACAAATCAGCGAACCTTTTTAATCATAGAATCTAATACATATTTTAACCACAGTAACTGAAAATCATGATTCAACGAATTTTATGTTGAAGTGTATGGATCAATCAGTTAAGACTCCTGTGGATTTATACAAATATGATTTTATATATATATATATATATTGTTGATCAGAGCCCTGCTGTGGCTTAGGCGTTTTCTGTTCTGTTTAATTGCTAATAATAATTATTATTATAATATACGTGTCAAAGTTTAGTTATCTCGAAAAACAATAAGATTCACGTTTACGTCCAGTGTTGTATTGATTATCCAATACATAGGTGCTTAAAATTCTTGTCTAATTCCATTTGCTTCATAAAACGAGGATTCTTTCGTTTTCCCATCTTAATAATATTGTGTTGCTTCATATTTTATTGATTGAGACCATAGATGTTTTATGGAATACTATGTGCATTAGTGTGTTTAAGCTATACCAATTAGAGAAACCCATTTTAACTTATAATATAGCAAATCGCTTAATTCTATATATCATGCTGTTTCGCAGTTTAGTTTCTATCTACTATGTAGTGTCATAAATATTGAGCAATACCATTCATTAATATTTTGTATCAAGTGACTAAAATACTATTGATAATAAAATGAATGTGAAGGTAATGATGAATAGGACACTTATTACAAGTACTGAGTATATAATAAGTTAGTTGTGCATAATTTGAAGGCCAAGGAACGTATAGAACGTGTTAATTAAACGAAATAGGATCTGAAAATTAGTTCTCATCTCGAAATGATATTACCCGAAGAATGACTACAGCTAATTATCGGCGAAGAATTGTTTCCCATAAATTTGGAACTTCTCAGTGGTATACACTTACAACTTTTAACACTCACTGAAACCACAACGTCACGTTAGATATGGATTTTCAATTCCACCCATTTTGTGATACAGCAAGACTTCAGTTATAACTAACTACCTCACTCCTGAGCTGGTTGAATTGTGACAACCATTGTTTCTCGGGCTGATTACATGCTGCTAAACCTCAGTAACTTATATTCTAAACTGAGTTTTTAACAACGATTAGTTTAATCAACCAGTAAACATTATTTTAATATCTCCCATTACTCTTTCTTTGATGTTTTATTGTTGACTTTTTTCTAAAAAAAAGGACATTTTAAGCGCATTCACTGTTATGAAGTTCGTATACAATGATCACCTCTGATAATTTATTTAGCTTTCACAAAGTATCTAGAAGATAAGAATGCAATCATTTCAATAATCTATTACTTATTTATGAAGAGTATAACTATAATTAAAATAATCTTTCCTAAGTGTGAATACAAAGTGAACCGATGATGCTTCCTAAGCTATGAAAAATACGTCATGAATTGTTGCAATAAGTATTATGTTAACTAGAGAACGCAACGACAAACGAAAAAAGTCAAACATCATATACAGGATCAATTTCAGCACCGACTCAAAAGACTACATAGAACAAAATGGCTATTTCCACATTTACGTCTACATAAATGCCAGTTGCCTATTAAATGCCACAATATAAATTTACTAACATAAGTGCATATAGACAGCTTCGGATATGAGTTCAATCGGGAAAACGTCGAAGATCTGGAGAGAGAAAAGACAAGGAAAACCGAGGGATTTTTGAAAGCCTGGCACTCTACTCAATCTATTAACTAATTAGATATATCTAGATCGATTCAATAGAATAAAGATCAACAATTTCAATTTTGGAGGTCATGTTAAGAGAGAAAACAATCAAAATAAACACCCAAACAACGACCATACAATTGTGAACAGCAACCAATCGAATGTCATGTCCAAAGGACAGGCTGTTATTCAATGGTTAAGGGATTCTAATACTGCACTTTTCTTTCAAGTACATGCCGATGATGTTACCCAGAAAGATAATGAAAGTTTTACAATTAAATCATCCAACTTAGACAACACAACACCAGCCAAGTAAAAATCCTGCAAGGGTACAATGAGAATTCCCTTATTTTTCACACTATCTACGTTTTAAGCAAAGCAGTTTTGCTTATTGAAAATCCCATCAAACCTTATGATTTACATCAATTTGTGTCAGAATTCCTTAATTCAGTTTTAAAGTCTACTGTTCATGTTCGAAAGTTTATTATCTGAATATTGGTAACAAGCTTATTGACCTTAAGCTGAACTCGGTCACCTGTCAGTTTTACAGTTTCATCTTCATTCTAAGGTGATTCGTGTTACGGTTAACTAATACTGTATAATTTTCAATGTTTATTCAACCACTAGAAACTCATGTTCAAAATTGCCATAAGAAATTATCTTTAATCCCTTTAGATATTGAATCCACACTAAACACACAACATTAGATAAATAAATAAATCACACAAGTGATTAATTTCAAAACACTTTAAGATTATAAACCCGTTTGCTTTCTGTCTATTTGTACATTTTTAACTTAATGTTTACTTTATAAAACCTTTGGGATTCACAGTTGATACTGTTACTCATATTAGTATTTTAGGCAAATCTGTTGAATATCAAGAAGCTAAAAATATCGGCAAAGGAAAACTAACATTTCAAAAAAATAACATAGAATTCATGATTAGTTTATCTTATGTCCCATACCTAAGTTTTTCACTATGTAAATTATTAACTACATCTATAAATATTTCGAGGTTTATTAAATGGTATAACTGACGAACTGATATTATGTACACATAAGCGACTATCTTAAAGATAGAATTCCCAATATTCTAATAGAAAACTATTCTTTGTGAAAATGATGAAATCAGAAGACAATAACTCGTTGATATCAATGGAGAAAGAGAGTAGTGGATCTTAAATCGACTAAAATTAAGAATTTAATCCACTAGATTCAAATTTTTTAACGTAAAAGTAATGCACATACTGTAAGAACTGTGAATCTTGATTTCGATTCCTTGCAGGATTCTGAACATGTACTATTGTAGGGTCTTAAACTATGGCAAAATAAAGTTTTTTAATGGTTCCTCAACTAATCTCCTTTCAGAATTAATAATACCCTCAAATAATTAGGATAAGCGGGAATCGAAAATAATGGAATATATATAAATTTTTATTCCTACAGTTATATAAGACAATGTAGTCAGATATAAAAAAATTGGGGATGCTGAACATTAATCACATAATAGCTACTACATTTAACAATAAAATTTGCACCACTTTAAATGAAATCAACAATTATGCATAAATAACCTCAGGTATACCAATAAAAACTTCAAATCTATCTTGTCATGTTTAATGTTATTAAGAAGTTATTCTGTAACTTTTAAATACTGTCATTTTGTAGTCCTCAGTGCTATCTGAAATCCATAAGTAAGGTATTGTAAGTACAAAACTAATGACTATTCATTATCTGGATTCGGCGGTTTTGTAAATAAAGTGTTAACATTTGAAGAGATAAGTAATAGATTCAGTTATCAATCTTAACATGAAAACAATAACGCCGGTACAGCAAGAAGACGAATCCCAGATAAGACAAAACGTGCATTCTACATTCCACTGCTAGTCACAATCCGACTGTAACAAAATCTCTGTAAACACGTTTAGAGTTTAGCTGATTCTAAAAATCCGCTCCCAGTCAAGAATTTATTTTGCCAACAATAAGTTCATTGTTCAATGAAAGCAACATTTATTTATTCCTATTTACAAATAAATATTTGATTGTCTTTCATGTAGATTGTTAGTAAATGTGGTTGGGGGGGGTTGTTTTCGTCATTAATCAAGGACATGAAGGAAATATTCATCATAATATCCATCAGTGAGTTTTTCCAAGTTATTGTTCGATGAAATTTCATTCAAAAAAATAAATATAGAAGGTATTCAAACAGCAAAACTACAAAAAGTCTAAATCCCTTCGCGCAACGTTTTGGCGCTTGAAATTTTTAACATCACGAAATAAACGGTATAAAAGTATGGTACGCTAATCTCGCTATATTATTTTTTTCTTAGATTCTGTCATGTTACCCTGTAGAAGCTACAATGAGAACATTAATATGATTGGGTCCAATTCGAATCTTCGTCTTTGTTCATCTGCCCCATCACCACTTAAAAGAAAACCGTATCAAGTTTCTTTCAATCTTGATAGAAATACCTACATCGAATATCCTTACTCAGAATCCTCAACTTCATTAGTGCAATGCAAACGTGTACCAGGTTATATAAGTTCAAGTGGAGCTACTCCAGGAGAAACGAATGTAAACTTTAAAACATCACCAAAATATCCATTCAGTTGGAGCAATGAAAATGGGGTAACAACAATTGGAAAAGTTATAAATGGCTATGATAATGAATATTCCAAGCAAATTAATTATCCACCTCGTTTGTACACTTCATGGCCTATCAGACCAAAGTATAATCGTTATTCACCACCTCCTCCACAACCAACTTTAAACCATGATGGGGATAACATTAATTTTAATTGTAGTACAACTGATCAAACCGCCATTATAGATCCTTTTACATCTAATAGTTATACTGCACACAAACCAGAAATCCGTTTTATCGACACCACTTTAAGTTCACCAGGGAATTGTAATTTAAGCAGCAATAATAATTTAAATACGAATAAACCACCAGTCTTTGGAAGATCTCTGAATAGTTTAAAATTGCTTTTATCAAAATCTACACATCGTTTCGATGCAAATAGTAATAACAATAGTAATACTAATCCAAATGGCGGTAAGTCATTATTTAAACAAGTCGAACAATATGATTCAATCAATCCAAGACATAGTTCAGCAATCGATATCTTGAATCAAAGATCATTTTGTCCATAATTCTTCGTATCACTTATTTTTATAAAATAAAAGTTTTTTTTTTTAAATTAAATAACGTCGATTCCATTTAAATTACAACACGAATATAGAGAATTAAGTCTGTTGTTGTTTTCGTTATCGATCAGAACATTATTATCTAAATACGAGTGAATGTATACATTTATTCATGCGATAAACTCATACTTTATCAAAGCTATTGATTTTTGTTTTAATTATAACTATGTTTTGTGGGATAGGTAAAGAGGTGACAGGACTAATTAAATTACTTATTTCTTTACTGAATCAAATTTACAAACATTATAATGCTTTTAAATATACGTGCTGTACATTCCGAATAATGATGTTTATTTTGATGGTTGATGCTCTTTGGTGATTTCATTTTGTTTTTATTTTCCGTGTTCCGTTTAAAAAACATAGTATGCTAATCTTATTTTATGAAATATTTATGACTAGAAGTGAAAGTAGTTTTTCAAGTGATGATGACTCATACTTCTAAATTTGAAATTGGTGATACGTTTACATTCTAAGTAGTTGTCAACATTCACTATATAAGTACCATTTATACTTGTATTCTTGTTATTTACAAACATAGGTGCTTTTTAGACTTTTCATAAAACTAAGATAATACTGACTACAAACTAGTAGTGAGATCTTATTTTACACAAATTGGTCGTTTCAATGTGATGCAAGACGTCATCAGTACAACTTTACGAATAAATGCAGTGACTAGATTTCGCGTGAATATTAATATGTAGTACTTCTTCACGAATCAAACTCGACTGGCCAACATTCAGTCATCCTGTGTTTTAGAATGACTTGCTATAATGTTGCAAGTAATGTGCTGAAATATTAGCAGATAAATGTCTACTCTTAACAAAATAGCTGGTGAATATGATGAAAATAAGATTTATTAAGCTATACAACCTCTTAGTTCATAAGAACGGAACCAACTGATTGCGTAGTTTAGAAATTATTGGTTCAAACCAGAGAAAATTATTTTCTTCCGAATCCAGTTAACCACGAACAGATGTCACCTGAAGAACTGAAATCTAGAGAACATATGAATACAGTTGCACTCTAGGTTAAGATTCACAAACAATGTATACACACAACCCTCAGATTCCGAAACGAACCTCTAAGTTATAATCTAAGGTTCGACATCCTTCATCTCAGACCTTTTACAGTATCTCATCGGCAAATACTGCATTTCATGTTAAAAATGTTCGCTGTCTTCATGGTCATTATGAGCAAACAGTTGTCAATAGAAATTAATTCTAAACCTACATTCTAACAGGACTGTTTAATCGCAATAGAAATTGTATGACTGATATACCTTGGAAAATATTTTCCATCTTAATATGGTAACATATCGGAAAAAAATGACTTCTAAGTAGCTGATTTATCATTTGCAGTCGAATCTTCATTCAATGATTTTACGGTAACACTAAAAATCACATCAGCATAAACTCATAGTGTTGATTTTAAGCTCATTTGTGAGCAGCTGGTTGTTTGAATCTTATACAAGGTATAACTTAAAATCATTACTCTCCGTACAATTTTAAACAAAAATGTGATGACTGAAAGTATTCCCGAGACTTTGTATGTAACACTGTAGATTTAGATGTAGTCTTTAGAAATTACCAGTTTTGATTTTGAAATAAACTGCTAAACCTCAAGATTTCTCTGTTCATACAAAAATTGCCCCTAAATAATATATTTTAAAAAATGAAATATATAAACACAAAGTTTCTTATTATTTAAATAGGAATCCACATGGAATGCACAATATGACCATTTCTTTTTGATAACGTGATAGTGTTTAGAATTTTACATTGCAACAATAGGCTAAAGCAGCCGAAATCTCCAGTCCTATAATGACTTCCATAACTGATTAGTTTAGCAGACGACATTTAAACTATGATCTTTTTCAAAGTTATATCAAATACATTATTGAAACGAGATCTTAATATCGCCTACTTAAATATCTAAACAGAGTTTGCGTCATGAATAAAAATCTAGTATTATTCGTTTCAATAAAAATTTACTCGTTAAGAATACACTCAGTGGTTTACACTTTGACGGCAGAAAAGTGACTTAGTTGTTTAAGCATACTACATTTTACCGCTTCATTGTGGATTCAAATCCTATTTCAGCACCGGTTAGCCAGAAGCGTAATATTTATGCCTAACACATAAAAGACTCCGAATTCGGCAAGTCAGCTTCGAATTAGCCTATCGTGATGAATCAATCGGGCTATACTGGCTGGAACAATCATTCTTTAAGGTCCTACCATGACAGGCAGGTCGGTTAAAGAGTAGTAAGACTAAAAGCAGCAAATCCATGGTTCAAGGGCAAAGTCGTACTCCTGAATGTACAGACGTGTTACGGTAATAAGGTGTTTTTTAAGACAACCAGCATGACAGCGATGCTGCCTTCCCACAAAGGAAGGATAGGGTTAGAAAAGGTCGATCCTAAAAATCCACATTTCGCCTTGTCTCATGTTTCCTTCTCTTGCAGCCTTTTCCGCCGTCATTGCTAAATCCTCCATATATTTACGTTTGTCGGTTATGATGCTCCTCTTCACTTGCTTGTTCACTTCCGTGTATTCAGCTGGTGCCTTGGCTTTCTCTGCTCTTGTTCGGCTGTTCCTGATTGCTGCCTTCTTGTTCACCCTTTCTTGAATCTTATCCAGTGTATCAACAGTGATCCATTCCCTGTAATGGGGCCTATTGTGGCCCAGAACCTCATAACATGTTGAAGTGATTGCCTCCTTTATCCCTTTCCAGTTGCTCTTCATAGTAGTCCCTTCTCCACTGAGTAGATCGTGAAGGGCCTGAAACCTATTGCTGAGGGCTATCTTGAATTTGTTGAGTTTGTCAGTATCCCAAAGAAAGGTCGTATTAAACGTTTGTAAGGTTGTCCGCCCCATTCCCCAGTGCTTCTTGAGTTTCAATTTCATCTTGGCGACCAGCAAGTGATGATCTGATGCTATATCAGCTCCTCTCTTGGTTCTCACATCCTCCATCGTCCTCCCGAACTTTTTGTTAATGCAGATATGGACGATTTGGTTCTGTGTAGTGTGATCCGGTGAAGTCCATGTGGTTTTGTGTGTGTTTGTGTGGGAATATGGTCCCGCCTATGACCAGTTTGTTGAAGGCACATTGGTTTGCAAATTTCTCATCATTTTCGTTCCTTTCTCCCAGTCCGTGTCGTCCCATGATGTCTTCATATCCAGTGTTGTCCATTCCAACCTTGGCATTTAGGTCTCCCATCAGGATGGTCAAGTCCTTTGTTGGGCACTTCTCGACGATTGTATGACACAACAAAGAAACTCGCTGGAAATTATCGTAAATTATAACGACCAGTGAAAAACAAGGAGGGCAAAGTAATCACCAAAATCGAAGAACAGCGGAACAGGTGGGTGGAAAACTTCAAAGAACCCTTGCATCGACCAGCTCCACTGAACCTACCCAACATCGAAGTAGCACCCACAGGCCTCCCAATCGATGTTGGCCCACCAACAATTGAAGAGATCAGCATCGTCATCAGACAAATCAAGAGCGGAAAAGCAGCAGAACCAGACAACATTTCAGCAGAGTCACTGAAAACAGATGTAGCAGTAACTGCAAGGATAATCCACATTCTCCTAAGCAAGATTTGGGATGAAGAACAAGTACCAACAGACTGGAAAGAAGTACACCTGACCAAGATACCAAAGAAAGGCGATCTCAGCAAGTGTGAGATCTACAGAGGCATTACTCTTCTCTCAATACCAGGAAAAGTCTTCAACAGAGTATTGTTAAACAGAATGAAGGACTCCGTAGATGCCCAACTTCGTGACCAACAGGCTAATTCCGCAAGAATTGATCGTGTAGAGACCAAATCTCAACTCTGCGGATCATTGTGGAACAATCAATTGAGTGGAATTCATCACTCTACATCAACTTCATTGACTACGAAAAAGCGTGGACAGAACAACACTATGGAAGCTTCTTCGACACTACGGCATACCGGGGAAGATAGTCGATATCATACGGAATTCCTATGATGGATCAAACTGCAAAATCGTGCATGGTTGACAATTGACAGATTCGTTCAAGGTAAAAACCGGTGTCAAGCAAGGTTGGGCAGCATCATTGATGAACACGGTGGATCTGATGCAGATGTAAAGGCACGGAACGGCAAAGCAAGAGCAACATATTTACAACTTAGGAACATCTGGAACTCAAAGCAACTGTCAACCAACACAAAGGTCAGGATTTTCAATACTAATGTCAAGACAGTTCTACTGTATGGGGCGGAAACTTGGAGAACTACGAAAGCCATCATCCACAAGATATAAATGTTTATTAACAGTTGTCTACGCAAAATACTTCGGATCTGTTGGCCAGACACTATCAGCAACAACCTACTATGGGAGAGAACAAACCAGATCCCAGCGGAGGAAGTGGATGGAGACACATTAAGGAAAGCACCCAACTGCGTCACAAGACAAGCCCTCATATGGAATCTTCAAGGCTAAAGGAAAAGAGGAAGATGAAAGAACACACTACGTCGAGAAATGTAGGCAGATATGAGGAAAATGAACAAAAATTGGATAGAACTGGAGAGGAAGGCCCAGGACAGAGTGGGTTGGAGAATGCTGGTCAGCGGCCTATGCTCCATTGAGAGTAACAGGCGTGAGTAAATAAGCCTTATCCCACGGGTATCCGTCTCCCGTGTTAGTCCTAACAAGTACGTAGCTATGACAATAGTTACAAAGAGGTCGTGTTTGACCGACACCAAGAAGTTTTCCCTTGGGCACTGCGGTCACGTACTCAGGTCACTAAGGCCACCTTTAATCCAATTCCCTTTACAGGTGCCTCTAGAAGAACCCTTCCGTGGTGTGGGCAATCGGGAAGTGATAACTACTCTCATAACTCTAACAGCACTCAAGATCACTGCATTCATAATCAATTTCCCCCTTTGATTCCTATTACCCCTCGTACCTCGACTATCAA